AAAAAAAAAAAAAAAAAAAAATGTTCCACTTTCTGCAGTACATTGTTAATCCACTAGAGGGCAGAATACAGATCTCACATGATATGGTACAACAGGTTTTCGAGGAAAATATTGATCGCATTGATAAAATATAGGTCATAGAATCCTGCGTGGCAAATATGATACAAATGAGGATAAACCCCCAGTTTTCTACTTTAATTACTATAAGTTCTTTAAGTTAGACATAGACATGTGTGGTATCTATAGAAACAGCAGAATCTTGGCTAGAAGCTGGTAAAAATGAACATCAAAGACAGTTAAAAATACACACAATTGAAGATAAAACTGTGAAAGTGAAAATAAAATTGGCAATTTGGCAAGTCAGAGATGTCAAAATAATATTAGGAGGCATAATGGGTTATTTTTGATATTGTTATTGTTTTATTATCACTACTTTTATAGGGTGTATGTTGTATTCATAATTAAATGCAGCAAAATAAAGTATTTTAAAGGTAACAGATCTTTGTAATACTTGTTTTATTTACATAATGACTTTAATTACTGGATGTTCGGCCCCCCAGCTGTTGGCCTGCAGTAACTGTGGCCCACAGAGCAATTTAGTTGAATAGCCCTGCACTACATTAACTAGTGTACGTGTATGCACTGTAAATTATGCTTTTTCTTAAACTGGTACATGTGAGTTTCTTTATGCATTTTACAGAAGCAGAAGACGCCTACATAAGCAGACCTCAGTGGATAATGTGAGTGAAATCAGTGTGACAGATGCGAGCATGTTGGAGACCATCACCACCAGGGATCCTCAGGTGAGGGCTAATCAAAAATGTTCAAACATAAGAAATGGGGTTAAACTCTAATCGCTTTCTTAAAAAATGTAAATCAAGCTCCTTGTGTTTGAAAAAGACAAGAATAGACTAAATAAAAGTTTTAAAGATGTCAATAGAACCTCATGTTTAGTTTGAATCCACAGTACTACATGGTTGCAGAAAATGATGTAAAAGAAAACGTCATCTCTCCAAGAAGAGCTGCCAGTTCTCCTTGCTCTTCAGAAACAGGTACYAGAAATGTCCCCGGTATCGTTCATCTGCTTTCGACCTAAATTAGCACAGCACTGATGATTGCTAATTAAACACCTTGTGATTTAGTCATTTTTCCTTTGTCAGGCACCAACCATTCATCTGAAGAATCAGAAATGTCCAAACACAACAGAGGGTACGAGTGTCCGTTAGTGTCGGCCGCTGCCACAGAAACCATACAGCCACCTGACCATCCCTTCAGCGCAACACCGGATCATTTTTCATCCGTTGGGCCGCCAACACCCCCTCAGACTCCCAGCCCTGAATCCTCTTCTTCTTAGCCCCGTGAAATAAATATACGTAATAAAATACAGCTGTACAGACTGTCATACAGTTCTATAGATTGTTTCAAGCTATTGTAAACACTGTTTTGTTGTTAAAAACATGGTCCTCTCATAGACAGAAAACAGTTAAACTTTATTAATACAAGTGTTTTTTTTTTTTTTTTTTTTTTTTTTTTTTTTTGGGGGGGGGGGGGGGCGTCTTTTATTTTCCCCCAATGACACCTCATTGTAGAACTTATGTGTTTTTTTTATTGACAAAAAAAAAAAAGAACTTATGTGTTGATGTACAAACGTATACTGTATATCAATGATGTAAGTTATGGAGAGCCATTGCATTCAAAATACAATAAATAAATAAATAAACAAGCAAATAAATAAATAAATAAATAAATAAATAAATAATAAAAAGACGTGCAAAAATGTATTATAATATATGAATTTTGTTTTATTTCATGGGGGTATTTATGTATTTGATGGGATATTTATTAATACTTTATTAATTACAATATTTATTTATTTATTTATTTATTGTATTTTAAATGAAATGGCTCTCCATAGTAAGTCAGGGATTAGCAACTTAAATAATGGAAGGAGACATATTTTTTGTTTCCACTGAGGGCTGCACACTCAAATGTAATAAAACGGCCATTTTAAAACTGTCATGCTCAAATGCACGCATAACAGTTTGCTCTTGTTTAAACATGAACACACAATATTTGAAACCACGCTGCCAGTTTTCCATCCTTGATGTATGCAGTATGCTGATTTAATGCGCTTTTTCAAATATTCGCTAAAAGATTGTAGCCTGTTCGTCTTGTTTAAGCACTGTAGCTTAAACGAGTAAAATTGTAACCGTTGTAAATTTTCACCTCTAATAAGTCGTTATTTTATATCTAAAATTCACAACCAAACCCATTAATAGTGTGTATTTTTTAAGCTGTTTGTTTTGCAAAACAGATTTTTCTAATGATGTACTTTCTCCAAACTCCAAAGTTCATTTTTCCCTGTTTCAGACCACCTCTGCTACACTGCACCCCATCAAACTCCTCTCCAAATATTGTCTGTGCTTCATTGATGATGCTTTTCTGTCCTCCACCATCTAATGCTCTAGTGCTGTTGGTACCATCGCGGCCACCCTTCAGCACCACTCCATCTTTAGATTTCCACCTCCATCTCAAACTCTCTCTCAAGGTTGACTGGCAGTTGTTAATAGAAGGACCTGCGGCTTTTTGTTTCGGGGCAGCGACAGAAAACAAAGCGCTTTCGTTCAAAAACCATCAGGGGCCATATTGATATTGATTTTTCCTGGCAAGACACACTTACCTATATATCGGGCTCCATTAGAGCTAACAGACGGGTTAGGCTACCAATCTAAACAGAAGCAGATCACCCTGCCAGTATAGATGAAATTGGGCCCAGTGTCAATTTACCGTGTATTACTTCTCGATTGGGGCAACAGGGGGCAACAGAGTCACTGCAAGTAACAAGAGTCTCGCTTTCATAGCTTTTAAAAACTGAAGGAAAAAAAAGCCAATACATTGATGTCCTTTTAAGTTTTTTTGTGCATTTAGAGCTTTGAGTGGTTTTTTTTTTCATGTCAAGTCAGTGGATTAATGTGTGACAGATAATCACTGAAAGACACAATTAATGTGTAGAGTGTTAACATTAATATTTGATTTTATATTTAAGCTTTTAGAAGAAAAAAATACCATAAGGGAAGATTTAACATTGTTTTTGCTCCTTTTTTATTCTCTTATTTTGAATATTTCGGCCAGATGGGGTGTAGTTTTGACTTGTCGCTCACGTTTCCAGCMTGCAGTCCAGAGGACAGCTGAGGAGGGCTAAAGAAGGAATTAGCTACCCACTCAAAGGCTTTGCTCTGATCCTTCAGGTCAGGATTCGGTCCCTCCAGCTCCTGAGCGAGACAGAGTAACACTGATTTGTGAGGATTTGAGTAGATTTAAAATCAAAAGGGGTGGTGTTGGTTGGTGGTGGGGGGTGTCTAATGCATGTTTTGGACAAAGACATGAGCTACAGTCCACGCGTGCAGCAGGAAGAGGAGAAAGTCTGGGGAACTCCCAGTGTGTAGTTTAATCTGCTTTACTTTGATTATAATGATTTATTTGTATTTTCCTAAAGGACAGTAAACTGAATCAATGAGGGTCACAATATTACTTTAACACAAATACGTAACATTTTAGAATTTGCTTAAAAGGAGCAATCATAATAAATAAAAATGAACTGCACACCGGAATAAAAGTTCTCTCTAAGAATACAACTAGATATGCATAAATCTATATATTTTTCATTAAGATAACGATTAAGTTTCAAGTTCCCAAAGAGACATTGCGCAATAAATGTTAAGCTTTATAAGAAACATCCTTTTATATAAGTGGGCCATATTAGGCTTCTGGAACTGGATACCAAGAACAGCAGACATTTTGAACAGCAGGAAACAGCTTGTAGCTGTCACTTTCTTATAGTGACTCTCTGCATGTGTTAGATGTGGTCTATTACAGTTCTCTGAGGGTCACAGCTGTAACTATACTGTACTTTGTAGTCATTGGTCATAATTATCCACATGTAGGCTCTCATCTTCACCTTTGAATCACTCCTTGGTCTGCTCGCTTCAGTTGTCCCGTCCCACATCAGTGCAGCATGAACTCCCAGGCCTTCATCACCTGCAGCGTCCATGACTGAATTTGGATTAAAAAACAACAAAAACAGCAACAACCTTGCAACAAAATTTGAAGTTGTCTTTTTTTCATCACCAGAAAATTCAGTCTGGAAAGACTCACGCAGAGAAAGATAGCATTAAAAAGTTTTATTTGACATAAATGAGTAAAGTTCTTTGGCGCTGGAAGAAGAAGACGTGGTGGAGGGGAGGCCGAGGCCTGGAGGGATATGGTTCAATTTGTTTTCGTTGTAGCGCCAAGTCATGACAAACATCATCCCTGAGCTCAATTTTGTTTTTAATGAAAGTGATCAAACTGGGAAGCCAGCAGATTGTGTTGAATCTTCACTTCATCACAGTCTCCCATCCTGAGCAGCACATTGGTGACAGTGGAGAGGAAAACCTCCCTTTTAACAGGAAGAAACTTCCAGCAGAACCAGGTTCGGGACAGGCGGCCATCTCTGACAGAACAGGAAACAGACAACCCACAAAAGGACTGATCCAGGAGGACTTCCTTCAGAGAATGAGGGTGGAGGTGGGACGAACGTTGGTGAAACCAATGACGCAGAGCCTTATAAGTGTATCTTTGCATGATGATTGGCCGCAGTGAGGTGAGGAGCTGATGCTGATTGGCTGCAGCTGCGCACACGACGCAGCGATTGGATAGAGCAGRWGAGGTGGGGMGAGTCTTCAAGTCTGGATTTATTCTAAAGCTTCATTATTATGCAAATTTGTTCTTCTTTTTAGTATTTTACCTGGTTTAATTTAAATGTTTTTAGAAGCCGTATTGTTTTAATTGCTTTTATTGTTGTATGTCATATTGTCTGTCTGAAACAGGTCTTTCTCTTGAAAATGAGTCCATGTTGCCATGAGGCTGCCTGCATAAAAATAGGTYCACAAAAATAGAGAATTAACTGAAAATTAACTGAAATAGCTAAAAAGTAGCTTAAATTTTAT